CTTTTCTCAGATTGTTTTATGATGTCTTTATCCTAAATGTGAATGTGTTAGAGGTTTATCCTTTGATATTTAAGTCTGGGAAAACAGTCTATTTATAAGTTGAGATTGGCATTTGATCTAACTTTCAGTAACAGTGAGTGCTCTTGGAATATTTACCATCCATCTTTTTCATTTTGTTATTTGTTTTCTGCTTTGAGTTTCAATCTGATTGGAGGTTGAGCAATCACAATCATATTTAACCCTGCCACCTTCTGTATGTACCTGTCCAAAGCCTGCAGTTCCTTATCATTGAATGTGGTAATTGGTTTTCTTTTAATGTTTAATATTTAAATCTGGCCATTAGTTTTCTCTTTTGAATTGTTTTATATTTTGTTACCCCAGGGCTTAGCCTACAATAAGTCACTGTCAGGGTTTGACTTATTGTTGAGGACCATCAGTAACCATGATAACCTGTAATTGTTTATACCCTTGTTCTTTGCTCTTTGGTGGAGAGATGTCTTGTTTTTTAATCATGTCACAGTTTCTTTTTTTTATATACCATGATTAAATGGGAGGAAGAATGTTGATAAGAGTTTGAACATCTTTTAAATATTTTACTTCTCTTCAAATTTACTCTGAAAACATAAACAAATTCTTTTGCTGATTTGTTTTAAAATCTCTATGACCACGAAGCAAATCAATATTAAAAATAAAATATTAATTTATCCATTTTTGTGTGTTTTGTCTACCTTATCAGAAATGATCAGTATATTTAAGGATTATATAGATATAACTTCAACATAAAATTGACAAACTGCATTATAAGTCCAGTCATTTTTATAGATATAAATGTTCAGTATTAACATTTGTCTGTGTTACATAGTTTTATTATTTGTTTAGCTATGTAAACTATGATAAGAAGAAACTAATAAGGATTAACCTTTTTTTTTTGACAAAATGAGATTGATAATTCCTGGATACACAGGAAAACCCAAAATATGAGAACATGTACATTGCAATTGCTTGAAAAAGGCACATAAAACTTAAAGTACTTGACACAGTGACCTTTGTAGAAGAAACTGTATAAAGATGAATTTTTCTTCAAGATCATTTCTAAATTAACCAAAAATTCATAGAGCAATAAAAAAATAAGCTACATGTAAGTGAAGTTTTCCTTTTGAAAAAAAATGGATATGTGTTAAGGCATTTGTTTGATATTGTTCAATATACTTTAAAGTTCATGATTATAGCCTTTGTTTTTGTAGCAGTTCAGTGTTTCTGTTGTTCCGTTGTTTTCCTCTTATAGTTGATGTGTTTCCCTCAGTTTTGGTTTGTGACCCGGATTTGTTTCAGTTAAATCGATTTATGACTATTGAACAGCAGTATAATTACTATTGCCTTTATTTAAGTCAATGAGACAGCAACTCAACAACAAAAATAACCAAAAGACATCTAAAGACCAACACACAGTATTTTACAATGTACAGGTGTTTTCAATATGTCAAAATAAACTCCTCCTGTTCATTAAAGTTGTGCTTCACTGTAATATACATATAAGGTCATTAATGTTGCGAAAAATTGAAATGATTTAATTTCATATTGGATTATATGTATTAGATACACCTATGATGGAGTAAGCCTGATTTGGTGTATCTAATTTACACAAAGATATTATTGTCAATGCAGGAGTGTTGTTGTTTGGTTACTGTCTCATTGTTGCTTACCCCACATATCCAGCTCTTCATATGTATTCATATGAAACGTTTGAAGTTTATCAAAGAATTCTAAGTGCCTCCTCACAAACCGTTTAGATTATTTCTGTAAGAAAAAATTGAAGTGCTGTATGTACTGACACTACTATAATCCTTTGTGTAAATCATTACATATCATAAATAAACAGTCTTCAAGTACATTGTACTTAAGGACTATCAATACTTTGGCTTCCTCCACTGAAATCAGTTTTCCTATTGATTTTTTCCAAAATTTTTAATTTGACCCAAAAGTTAGATTTAAGGATGTTCGCTTCTCTTGTTTCGGACATTTTGTCAGATATTCGGAATCCTCTAGTTTTAACCATGTAGTCCCATTAAAAATTTTGCCCGCTTACCCCTACTTTTCTTTTTATAATTTTATTACATTTACATGTAGTTTAAATAGTCATTTTTGAATATCTTATAAAAAAAATACTTGTTATTTTTTCATAGTTTTTGAGAAAAAAAAGGTGTCATTGTTAAATTTACTAAAAGTCAAGAGAGAATCATTTCCGAACAAATTTTCAATTGCTTGTATCTCAAAAACAAGGACACGGATCTTTCATTTTTTTCAGCTTTTTAAGTTCCGTTATTTATATACTATCAATTTATAACAGTCTTTTAAAAAGCTTGTTAATTTGAAACAGAGTAGCAAACATCCTTAAGGGCAATAGATATGATGGCACAATATGGTAAAAAGTAGCATACATGTATCAATTGGTTTCGAATTCAGAATTAAATCAAATAAATGACAATTCTTTTTCTAAGTAAAATATGAGGGTATAGATAATAAGATATATTCAAATGGTGAGGTCCATTATTTTATAGAATGTACCATACATGTTTGTATGTCCCATCCCTAATCATATATAATAATGTTAATTAACTAATACTGGATGTTGACCAAGCAACAATCAATCAATCAATCAATCATGTTCCAGATCTAAGTATTACTGTTTTTATGATAAAGAGTTTTGTCAATGTGCAGACATTTAAGATAGAAGCAAAGGTTCATGCAAAAATTTGATCACAGGTTAAAAATAAGGTAATGTTCCAATATATATATACATTTTCATTTCATAATTTGGAATTTAGTGGAATTATGTGTTGTTGTGAAATACAGTTTATTACATTGATAGGAGAAAGATCAAAAAAAAATTTAGCCATCCTTGACCTATATTCTACATATGAACGATTTTGTTTTAAGATCTAAAAAAAAAAAAGGCTATCATGATCATCATATAATGTATTGGTGACTTTGATCTTTGTCTTTCTAAGTCCTGATCTAAGTAACAACACGTTAAAGAGGAATGATAATTTATCAGTGTTTTTTTTTCTGACGTAATGATGAAGTTTCATACAAACATTGGGTCAACATGACCTGCATTTCAAAAAGTTAAAAAAAAGAGTTATCATGGGAGACTTCTTTGATAATATTTAACTTTTTACATGTTTCTTTAAAAATCATTTCAGTTTTTGTTGAGCCTGTGACTTCTGTCGCAGAAAGCTCGACATAGGGATAGTGATCCGTCGGCGATGGCGTTAACTAACTTCTTAGAAGCTTAAAGTATTTCATAAGATAGAAGACCTGCATGCTTCATACTTTGTATATAGAAGCCTTATGATATGAAGTTTCCATCTGTCATATGTCGATTGTCCTTGACCTCATTTTTATGGTTCAGTGATTACTTGAAAAAAAAGTTAAGATTTTTTGTAATGTTAATTATAATTTCTCTCTTATTATGAGTAAAAGGATAACTATATTTGGTATGTGTGTATGGTATGTGCGTACCTTGTAAGGTCCTCATGCCTGTCAGACACTTTTCACTTGACCTCGACCTCATTTCATGGATCAGAGAACAGAGATAAGTTTTCGTGGTCAAGTCCATATCTCAGATACTATCAGCAATAGGTCTACTATATTTGGTGTATGTAATAATTGTAAGGTGTACATGTCCAACTGGCAGGTGTTGGTTCAGTGGTTAAAGTTGAGTTTTTGTGTTTTGGTCTGTTTTTCTAATACTATATACAATAGGTCAAATATATTTGGTGTATGGAAATATTTTATGATGTACATGTATTGTCAGTCTGGCAGTTTTATTTGACTTTGACCTCATTTTCACAGTTCATATTGATCAATGTTAAGTTTTTGTGTTTTGGTCTGTTTTTCTAATACTGTATGCAATAGGTCAACTATATTTGGTGTATGGAAATACTTTACAATGTACATGTCAGTCTGGCAGGTTTTATTTAACCTTGACCTCATTTTCATGGTACATTGCTCAATGTTAAGTTTTTATGTTTTGGTCTGTTTTTCTCAAACTTTAAGCAATAGGTCAACTATATTTGGTGTATGGAATGATTGTAAGGTGTATATGTCTGTCTGGCAGGTATCATCTGACCTTCACCTCCTTTTCATGGTTCATTGGTCAATGTTCAGTTTTCCTGGTTAACTTTGTTTCAAAGATACTATAAGCAATAGGTCAACTATATTTGATGCATGTAATAATTTTAAGGTGTACTTATGTCTGTCTGGCAGGGTTCATCTAACCTTGACCTCATTTTCATGGTTCATAAGTCAATATAAAATTTCCATGGTTTGGTCTGTTTCTTTTATACTATGAGCAGTAGGTCAACTATATTCGGTGTATGGAATGATTGTATTAAAGGTGTACATGTATTTTTGGCTTGGTTAATCTGACCTTGATCTGTTTTCTTGGATCATAAATATTTATGTGATACTTGTAGTAAAACTTTATATTTAGGACTATCAACATCAAATCAATGGTCAGTATAGTAGACTAGACATTTCAGCGTGTGCACTCTTGTATTATATATACATACGTCTTGATTAAGTTAACAATTGTTGATGCATATAAAATAGACAAGTGGGTTAGGTATATCTTTTGGATATACTTCATTTCTTTATCACACATTTAAAAAAAAAAACTATATAGTACTGCATACATGTGTAATAGTCATAATAACAAATAATGGGTATGATTTTAAGTGAATGATAATAAAATATATTGTACCTTTCAGATACAGTCGTACATATCGGTAACATTATAGTTCAGAAATTTACACTAGATATAGATTTAGATGTTTTTCATATAGTTCTAACTTGTCGATTTAGATGTTTTTATTATAGATTTAAATTTTAGGTGCTTTATTGCAGTTGTTAGATATTAATATATTGTATGTTTGATATTATAGTTATTTTTGTTAAATGATATTTTTATTAACATTTGAATTGCTTTGTTTTGACAGCTGATCCAAGTGTGTCCCTGCAACCGAGTAGTGTGTTTGGTTTGGCCCTCACTAACACTCAGTCACCTGCACAGTTTAATAGCTTGCTTACTAAATCTGTAGATAATATAATAACAGAGTCTATGCATGAGACATCTCAGTTGACAATCTCAAGCAGTACTTCAACACAACAGAAAATCTCAACTAGTTTTAGCGACTCATCCCAAGCAACTGGTGTGATAAAAAATTCAGATTTAGTGAAACAGTTGAGCAGTTCTATCAACGAAAATGATATTGTGTCATCCAAAACAATTTCAAGTGATACTCTGTCTGAAAAATCAAAACTAGTGGATCAGTCATTAGCCTTAGGTTCTAGTATTAAAAGTTTGTATGTAAGTACATCAAATGATGTTTACAGTAGTTCTACAAGATCTTTAGGAACTGCTGATTTGACTACTTCATTAAAAGATGTGCCGCAAATAACAGTCAGCCATTTGTCAATGGGAAATGATCTTTCACTTTCATCATCATCATCTTCATCTATTGTCATGGTTACTAATAGTGTAAATACTGCAGATATCATCCAAACATCTTCAACATCAGAATCAAATAATGCTGCAGTGTCTACTCACAATTTTTCAGCTGTCAAGGAAACATCACAAAATGTAGCTGTATCAAATTTTGCTCAAACAAGTGATCTGACTTTGATGTCTTCCATTTTTTCAGGGGAGATAAGTATGGCGCAAAGTAAAGCTAGTGACTTTACAGCAACGTTTGGTACTAATATTTTACCAACGTCAGTATTGGAATCAAAATCAGCCGTCTCTATTGAAATCTCATCAACTAGACAAACATTTAAATCTGAACATATGCTTAAAAGCAGTATGGGAATAGTTTCTAGTGATGCGACACACACTATTCAAACTTCAGAAAGTTTGCTATTAGAACAAAAGTCTGACTTGTCAACAGCACAAATGACTTATACTTCTGCTCAATCATCACAGGTGGCCATGACTAATAAACCAACAAAAGATATAAACAGTAGTGTGATTCCTAGCACTATAGATAATATACCAATGACATCTGATCTCGATACCGTTGTTCCTACTAGCAGTACTCAACCTTCTATGCGAACTATTCCTTTGAGTGATTTATCCGTGACTGCACCTTCAACTGTTAGCAATTTAATGGAGAGTTTTTTAAGCTTTAGTTCAGTACAACACATAGAATTAACACAAAGTGTGGTGAACGGAACTAACATTTTATCGTCAATATTAGAAAGGGAAATAACTCCTTCAGAAACTTTTTCTATATTAACAACGCCTTCTGATAGTAGTTTAAGAAGTAAAATAGAACTGACGGCTTCTCAAGAGATGATGTCCATAACATCTTCACTTGTGATAACAACACTACAATCGAATGTTAGTGATTTTGAAACAAAATCTTTACTAAGTTCCGACCTCAGAATGTTCACATCAACAATGGCAGACAGCCAATCTAGCTCACTTGAGCCAACAAGCAAAAATATAGAACAAACAGCTATTCCAACATCATTTATTTCAACAACACCACAAACAAACATTAGTGCTTTTGATACACAATCTTTACTACCATCAGAGTTAAGATCATCAACATTAGGACTTATCAACCAATCCAGTACACCCGAAATGATGCCAAGCAGTCCTATCAAACATATATCAAGTTTTAGTATTTTTGACATGACAAGCACTTTTAGTTCAGATTCAATCTTTCAAATACTGAATGTATCGGATACCAAATCAAGTATGCCCACTTTTCAAACATCAGCCTTGGTTAATGCTTCAGGCAGCTCAACATTCAATATATTGCCAACACCAATGGTGACTATTAGTTCAGATGGCTCTTTAATGTTGAATATATCTAGTATTCAAACTTCTAAAGTTGTTGATCTGAGTAGTGAACTTTTAATGTTTAATGCAACTCCTACTTTGATTTCAATTACGCAAACTCAAAATTTTACAACTAATTTAGTTCCTGAATTAGTGTCAACAATATTTGGATCATCTCTAAGTTTGAATCAATCAGAATATAGCATAAATACAACTTCTGTTTCACAAAGCATGTTTTTCCCAATGACTTTGACAAGTGAAGCTAATTTTTCTTCAGAAACATTTTTAATCTCTTCAAGTTCATTCCCAGCCACTTTGCCAATGATGAATTTTTCAAGTAGTTTAGAATTAACAAATTTCACATCTGAAATTTTGCCAAATTCTTCCATTATGATTTTAACTGCTGCAACAGATCTTCCAACCATTTCATTGGAAATGTCAAACTCTTCAGATACACCCATACAAATTGCATCAACCTTAAATTATAATCTAACTACACAACCAATGAAAACAACAGACTTCTTAAGTGACCTTATAATGAATGTCACAGCGACCTATATTGCATCAGACATTTTACAATCACTAAACCTATCATCTAGTGAAATGAGGTCAGAACTCACTACAGTATATATGTCCAGAAATGATTCATCAGTTTCTGGAGAACTTACAAGCATAACAATTTTACCAAATGCAACATCAGATTCAGTATTAGAGACTTATTTTAATTCCACAATAGATTCAACATCGCCAGTCGTTATACAGCCAACAGTAGCGATCAGTTCACAGTTATCAACATCAATGTTATCTGGTAATGAGTCAGTTTCTGGAGACTTGTTCAGGACTACCATGTATATGAATTCAACATCTGATTTTGCGTCTTCCATGGAGTCAACACTACCAGTCATCATTCAGCCAACAATGACAATTAGTTCTTCTATTGTCATGGAAACTTTTAATACCAGTATTATAACAATGCCGTCAGTGGAAACATTAAATATGTCTTCAGCCATGACCTCGACTAATGTTGTATTGCAAGAATCTTCATCTATTGATATGAAAACTGACAATATGTCTGCCTTGATTACACCAACAGTACCAATATCATCTCTAGACTTTACATCATCTAATTTTACTATTGCTACAGTGCAACCAACAGTGCCTGTAAGTTCTGCAGATGTAATTTCATCTTCACCTCTGGAAACAAATAATTTGACTTCAATTTTTATAGAATCATCAACTGCTACAGTAATGGACATTTTTACATCAAACCTAACTACTGATTATCAGATACCTTCTGTTACTTCCAATGCTTCCCAAACTATTGTGTTTTCTTCAGAATTCATTGAGAACAGTTCAGAAAATCTGACAGGCATTATGTCATCAACAACAGTAGAACCAAGTTTAACAACAACTTTTATGCCAGTATCAGATAAAGTTAATCAGACAGGCATTATGTTGTCAACAACAGTAGAACCAAGTTTAACAACAACTTTTATGTCAGCATCAGAGATAGTAAATCAGACAGGCATTATGTCGTCAACAACAGTAGAACCAGGTTTTACTACAACTTTTATCTCAGCATCAGAGATAGTAAATCAGACAGGCGTTATGTCAACAACAGTAGAACCAAGTTTAACAACTTCTTTTATGTCAACCTCAGAGATAGTAAATCAGACAGGCATTATGTCATCAACAACAGTAGAACCTAGTTTAACAACAACTTTTCTGTCAGCCTCTGAGTTAGTAAATTCTTCTTCAACAACTGTAAAACCAAGTTTAACACCTATATTGTCCTCTGCATCAGAAATGGCTCCGAATTCTAGTGAATATGTAACACCATCATCTGCTTTTACAACAGTATCTACAACAGACATAAATAAACCAGTATCTTCATCAACTGGTACTGTAGCAATGTCAACAACTATGAAAGTGGGACCAGTGAATAGCAGTGAACCAGTAGTTACTCCTTCAACACCTCACACAAGTAGCATTATTGCAACAGAGGTGCCATCTTCTACAGAATCATTAACAGTAAGCACCTCTCCTTCAAAGATGATCACGTCTGGTGTGTTAACTAGCACTGGTGTGTTTTCACAAACGCAAGTATTAACTTCAGCAATTCATTCTACTTCACATATTCAAATGTCTAGTTCTGTTTTTATGACAACAGATGCACCGACTACTGAGACGACAACAACTTCAACAACTACACAACCAACTACAACAACCACACCAACTACAACAACACCACCACCTACCACAACACCTGATGTCAAGGCCACATACTGGGTTAAGACAGGTTAGTGCATACAGTATTACTAAAATCGAAAAATTATTTTCAAACTCTAGCCATGTAGAATCGAGGCATATAGTTTAACCCTTGCCTACTGTTCTTTTGAACAGTTGTGTCAAATTATTCATACAGTGTCTTTGATATTGAGATAATTAAGGGTATGCAGGTTGATAATCCATGGCCATCACTTTAGTAAACTTTAACAGAATTACTAAGTACTCCAAACCTTATAAACTTTGATGTCTGTTTTAAGAGGCTTGCTCACCTTACACATATATTTGCTGTGGATAAGGCAGATAATTATGCTATGCAATATGTAGTTTTTTTTTTTTTATAAATACCTAATTTAAAAATATCAGATTGGACAGTACAGATGCAGAATAGTCTTAAGCCTCCCCCCCTTATGGAGCTTCATATATGATAAATGCATTGACTTTCTAAAAGTATCACTCCATACACTGGCTTGTCAACTCCCTCCCCCCTTTTTCAAAATTCTGGATCAGCACCTGACCATGAGTCAACCAAAAAAAAAACTACTTAAAAAACAGAAAATGAAAATATACTACTGAATCCAGGGATTTTTACTTCAAGATCCAGATAACAGTAAATGTTAAATGATATTTAACAATTTAAAAGTTTATTTACTCAGTTTATTTGTATAGCTATATTATGTTCTTTGTAACAGTAGTTTTAATATGAACATGGAGAGAAGGAAACACAATATAAAATGACTTAAAGTAAAGCAAATATTCTAATATAAGTAATTTCAGAATTGAAATAAAGGTAGATAACTCTCATTTAAAATAATTCTGGTGTAAATTTTACTCAAACAAGTGATTTCAAAATCACTTTTCAAGTACTTGCAATTTCCCTAACTGTATACCAATTTCTGACGTTCACTAATTCATGGGTCTATCTATCTATCTATCCTTGTTTAAAGTCTTCCTTGTAGACACAAGAGCCAATTATATTTTTTGAAACAATCTAGGAGTCAGGGTTTTACATCATGTTCATTTCTATCATGTTCTATGATCCAAAAAGTATAGCCAGTCGATTGAAAACACATCTTCCTTGTTTGAAATTAGTACATGTGAGATGTTGGAAATGGCATATTTTAAGTGTTCAAGTTGTTCTTTTAAATTTCAGATAGGTGAAATAGAAATTTGTTTTAAAGTTAGGTCCAGTTGTGCTTATCATCATGATCATATTATAATGAAATAAAAAAAATATAAATGTCATTTGATTTATGGTGTATTTTGCATTAAAACTTTCTGGTCCGTCATGTCTGTGTACATTTGGAGGAAATGTTAAAATATAGAAAAACATGTTTATAATATCTCCTGAGTGTGCAAAGGACCTTTGACTTTTTCAGTGCTTTCCTGTTCTTTCATTCCTGTTTGATCATAAAATCAATTGGGTAAAGACCTCTGATTTGCCCTTTTAAAAAAAAACTGCATTTAGGATTTTTTTTTTTTTTTTTTTAATTAGAACTATCAAATAATTTCAACATGTATATCAGAGAAGATTAAGTAAATGTACAAAAAACAAGGTATAACATGTATGAGATCCATTGAACATTTAGTTTTGATCCATTTCAGACCAGATATATTCCTGTCAGAATGTAGACAAATGACAAAGTAAAAACTGGTAACACATTTTTTACCAAAACAGAGCATGTCTGATTGAGAAAAAAATTCCTTTTCCGTGTAATTTAATGAATTTGTCAAACTAACAAACATTATTTAGTTATAGTTATTGCTATTTTGCATGATGTTCCTATAGTTTCATTATAATAGTTACTGCCATGTATTGCATTTGCTTGTTTCAAGATTTAGAACAAAAGATATGATAATTTTCAGTATGAATATATATACAATGTCTAAATGATTATTCTTCATTAGCATGCTGTATTCAGAATTGTATGCATGAATATCCAGTCTTTAAAGTTTGCAATTCTTTTGATTTTAATTGTTAATACAATGAAATACTGATTATTTAACACATTTTGTGTTATAAATGTAAGAAAATTGGTATAAAATGAAATGTAGCATATACATCAAGGCGACAGCAACCTAATAACACTGCAGCAAAAGATATCTTCTTATTTAAAGAGGACATTGAAATTTACTCCTGTGAATCACTCACAAAGCACCCGTAAGACTGTTCATAAGTTTGAATAAAAAGAGATGTTTCCAATTGGTATACCTCAATATAAAGATAAGAATATGTGGTAAGATTGCCAATGAGATAACTATCTACCAAAGTTAAAATGGAGTGGTAGTAAGCAGTTATAGATAAAGGCAACAGTAGTATACCGGTGTTCAAAAGTCATAAATCGATTGAGAGAAAACAAATCCGGGTTACAAACTAAAACCGAGGGAAACACAACAACTATAAGAGGAAAACAAAGGAACAACAGGAACAATGAGTGCAACAAAAACAAACGCCAACATACATAAAAACGAACTATTTGATAACAACTTCCATATTCCTGACTTGGTACAGGACATTTTAAGGAAAAATGGTGGGTTGAACTTGGTTTTATGGCTAGCCAAACCTACCGCTTATATGACAATGTTAAAAAATATCGCTAAAATGACAACGCACAAACAAATAATATAATATGTGATACAACATGCAAACCGCAGAACAACAACGAACATCTTCCATCAACGACAGACACCAGACATAGGCCAGCGTACGGCCTACAACAATGAGAAAAACGTATACTGTATAGTCTGCTATAAAAGGCCCCAACTTGAAATGTGAAACAATTCAAATGAGAAAACTAACTGCATAATTAATAATAAAACATTTTTTGAAACAAATATGACAGACATGAACCATTTGGTACACCTCAATGTACAATGTATTAACTTTCTATATGTTCCTTATAAAAGGTTACATGCTTATGAATTGTGCGTGTGAATTGATACCCTATGCTTGTAATATGATGACTGTATTATTTGAAGAAATAATCCATGACTGTTTTAAAGATTTTTTGATTATGTGCCAACTGTAGAAGTGATGAAAATACATATCGTGTTCATAAAATTTTTTGATATACATGATTACAGGAATCTTAGTTCCAGTGACAGTGGATGTGTCCACTGTTACATTTAAGACCAAAGTAGAGTCAGGACTTGCTAATGCCTATGATCTGGCTTTCCAGAAACAAGGACAGGCTAGAAGGAGGAAAAGATTTGTACAGATTGGAAAGGCTGGAATTAATGTAAGACATAGGAACTATTGAAGTGTATCTGCGTTTTGAAATTAATCACAACTGAACATGTTTTAGGAAATTCATATACTGCTGTAACCACCAATGCCAAGAAATATTGTTTTCAAATCTAATTAGATACAAAGACTTTAGTATTTTGGAAACTAAGACAGTGATTTCATATGACATAAAATTGAGAATGGAAATGGGGAATGTGTCAAAGAGACAACAACCCAACCAAAGAGTAGAAAACAGCCTAAGGCCAACAATGGGTCTTCATCACAGTGGGAAAATCCCACACCCCGAGGCAGGCTTCAGCTAGCCCCTAAACAAAAATGTGTACTAGATCAGTGAAAATGGACGTGACACTAAACTCTAAAACATATAAATGAACTAAAATAAAAAAAAACGTACAAGACTAACAAAGGCCAGAGGCTCCTGACTTGGGACAGGCGCAAAAATGCGGCGGGGTTAAACATGTTTTGTGAGATCTCAACCCTCCCCCTATACCTCTAGCCAATAAACAAAAACACGGCAATACGCACAGTAAAACTCAGCTTAAAAGAAGTCTGAGTCTGATGTTAGAATAGGTAACAGAAGAAACTAAGAAAAATGACAATGATGTATAAATTAACAAAGGACTAATAGCAGTTACTGACATGCCAGCTCCAGACCTCAATGAAACTGATTGAAAGATTATGTCTTCATCATATGAAAATCAAGCACAATCCCTCCCGTTAATAATATATTTATTTGTATTTCTCCCTTTGCAACATATGACTCTGAAATCTGATTTTTGTTTCAAATCATTAATCACAACTTTTAGGTTAATCATGAAAACACCTAAATATTCAATAAATACTGGGCTAATTCCCTTCTAACAAATATCAGGTATGAATAAAAATAACAAAAGTAAGTCCGTCATATTAGAAATACAAGTTTGACGTGTTTATTTACATCATGGTTAGGAAATCAATGTCTTACTAATACTAACAGATGTTGCATGATATTATTCACTTGTTACCACTTTTTACTTGTTCACAAATTGATTTATTGTTTCTATCATGTAATGTTAATTTCCTTTCACTTTTAACCTTATAAGAATTTTTATCACTATTTTCATAAAATTTCCATTGATCTTTCTGTGGGATAATTTTCAACTCAACTGAGATTGTTTTTTCTCATTCCCGAAGAGTCAAAATGCAATGAAGTCATAAGCTTACGTCATAGTCATTGCCTCGGAAAATAGGTATAAACAGATTATCTATGGTCTTGTGGAAGTCTAGTAACTCCCTCTCATTTTCAGACCAATAGATAATCTATAAATCAAATAAATTTGTTGCTTTAAGATCTGTAACAGATTGAATTCTTGTGTAAGACACATCAATAAAGTCTGACATTTTCAAATAATTTTTCTTCATTAAAAAATCTAAATTGGTTGATAAGCATGGTACAGATATAACATATAACATTCACTAGAAGTGTTACCCCTACCTAACACCACACAACTAGCTCCTAAAATTTTTAAAAATGTGTCAAGATACAAGTTTTACAATGGTAATCTCAAAAATCATCCAGGACCAAAAACAAAATAAAATGACTTCAATTGTTTAGGAGGGGTTGCTAAAGCATAGTTTTGATGCACAAATTAAAAAATTGACACATTGATGTGCATACCAGCTTCATCGAGGAGGTGCATCACTTAACTTCCCTCCTCACTAAAGTAAGATGTATAATGATTAAAAAAAGAGACCCAACACTGATAGCAAGATCTGAACGTATTTTCTTTCATTTCCTTTAATCTTTGGAGGACAATACGGTTATTGGAGGTAGAGTCAGACTACAAATATTTTTTTAAGGTATATCAAAGTGCTAGAACGTTTTGCCTAAGCTACATTTAGACTTCCCTACTACTGTTGTAAATTATCTCCCCATCTTGAATTCTTCTGTTATGTGAATACAAAAGATTATATTACTGAGCTACTATTATATTTTACAGTATGTACAGTATTATTCATTTTGAAATATCACACAATGTGTAAGAATATATTATTTACAAGCAGAAGATTTCTTGTCATTTTGAATTATTATTTAAAAGACAGATATATATATATATATATATATATATTGTGCAAACTCCATGCATCATTACATTTAAATCTGGTATCTGATCACACATAAAACATAAGGTTTACAAAATAATATAAATGCTCTATCATATACTACAACTCAATATCATTCATAAATATTTGATTTGATAAACAAGAACTATATAGCCTGGTTACCTAAAATAACATCCTGAACAAGTAACTATGCATCTGAAAAAGTAATCAGACCCTAATTGTATTTACAGATAAAAAAGATTATTTTATATATATAACAAATCACATGTTCACAGTTACATTATAAATATGGTTAAAGATTGGTTTATTTGCAAATTTACACTTAAAATTTTGTGGGAATTTAAATATTCATTTCAAAATTGGAGATGAAATTTGAGCACAATTTATAGTTATAAGAACAGAAATTTACTCCTGATAAATTATGATCACACCCATAGAAAAATATAAAAAGATAAGGAGTATTGACATATCTAAATAAAATTGAGAATGGAAATGGGGAATGTGTCAAAGAGACAACCCGACCATAGAACAGACAATGGCCGAATGGGACCAATGGGTCTTCAATGCAGCGAGAAACTCCAGCACCAAGAGGCGTCCTTCAGCTGGCCCATAAACAAATATGTATACTAGTTCAGTGATAATGGAGGTCATACTAAACTCCAAATTATACAAAAGAAACTAAAATTAAAAATGATACAAGACTAACAAAGGCCAGAGGCTCCTGACTTGGGACAGGCGTTTATATGTACACTAGAGGGAAAAAAAAAATTCTATTGTTTTTGTCCCCTCATTTGTCAATGTTAATAATAACAAATGTGTAGAAAAAGGATTGAAAAAAATATTTAAAGCTCTATGGATGATGGCAGATGTTTTAATTGAATACCACCATATTGCTTTTTTTATTGTTCTAACATCATCAAAGTGTTTAAATGCTTGATTTTTTATTTGATAATTTAATGGTTCCTCTAGTATATCTTGGTATCAGTTATCTTTGCTCTGAAGATTTTTATGCACCCGCCGTAGCGCAGGGGGCATTTAGTGTTATCCTTGTCCTTCCGTCCCGAAAATTGGTATCCGTTCTCTAACTTTAGTTTGCCTCAACCAATTGTTATAAAACTTATACTGTAAAATCAGAAATTATTTTGAATAAGAATGGACAAAAATGCGAGTTTAATTATTGCAATTTCGAAAACATCTGAATAAAGGTCTACGTTTCAGTTATCAGAATGCGAGTTTTTATTATTGCGATACTCACCCAGTCACGTTATTTGCATTAATAAAAACCTCGCAATAATTTCTGAATTTACAGTACACAATGCTTATTACCACAAAACACAGATTAAGTTTGAAATTGTGTAGCGTCACTTTTATCGTTCATGAGTTATGCCCCTTTATAAACATAAAAATTGCTGAATTTTTCGTTTCCGTTCTCTAACTTTAGTTTGCCTCAACCAAATGTTATAAAACTTATACACAATGCTTATTACCTAAAAACACAGATCAAGTATGAAATTGGGTGGCGTTATTTTTACTGTTCCTGAGTTATGCCCCTTTATAAACATACAAATTGCTGAATTTTTAGTTTCTGTTCTCTAACTTTAGTTTACCTCAACCAAATGTTATGAACTTATACACAATGCTTATTACCACAAAACACAGATCAAGTTTGAAATTGGGTGGCGTCGCTTTTACCGTTCTTGAGTTATGCCCCTTTATAAATGGAAAAATTGCAAAATCTTTCGTTTCCGTTCTCTAACATTAGTTTGCCTCAACCAAATGTTATGAAACTTATACACAATGCTTATAATCACAAAACGGTCTTTACTACGTGAATCCTGCATTTGTATGAGGAATTTGACTCATGCATATTATCTGTGGCCCATAGACACATTCTCCATTTATTTTCTTGGGAAATGCACATAACTACTGAGTTTGTTCTTAAGGCAATGTCTATATGAAAATAAAGAAATGTGGTATGACTGCCAATAAGAAAAATATCCATCAAGACTAACTGAGATGGAATTTGCAACTATAGGTCACGATACAAGCCTTCAACAATGACTAAAACCCATACAGAATAATAAGCTATAAAAGGTCAATGTGAAAAATGTAAAAATTTTGACAAGAAATCCAACAGCCTGATTTATGTTAGAACCATATATGACGGACAGCATCCAATGAACAACCACTGAATAACAGGCTCCTGACTTGGAACAGGCATATTCAGAATAATATACCATACAGATTGCACAATCAACCATTTTTCATTAGTTTCATGGACAGCTAACAGTAATATTGAGAGCAACAGGAACATAAGGTGTTAAATAAAGAGTATACAGTAGCTCAAGAGAAAGGTGTGGAAGTCTTTGCTGGAATATGTTTATGACCAACATTTTCATCAGATTTCTACTTTTTTACCAGGTGACATAGATATCTAGAGCAAATAGAACTGAACATGATACATTAGGGTGTACAGTAGATAAAAAAAATATTTACTGTGACTTGACTATAGTGTTGCTGTTTACCTTACTATTGTTCAACCAGATTGTAAAATTTTGCTGGAATATAATTTTATAGATTTTTATTTGTTTTCTTCTTTATTTCACCAGGTTACAGATGTATCTAGAGCACCGGGGAAAGAAGATGTTACATTGGGGTATACAGTAGATAAAGATGGTACAACACTGCCAGCTTCAGAAGCTGTGGCAGCCACTTCCAGTATCAGTGATCAGATGATGGCAATTAAACTAGGATATGAAGTTTCTTCAAAAGCAGAAAGTAATGACCTGTGATAGTGTATTGTCATAATGACATATTTTGATAATCATGACTGATTCTAATATACACCTGTTTCTGTGCCAAACCTAGGATAGTAGAGGGGCATCATGTTTTCTGGTCTGTGCATCTGTTTGTCCGTCTTGTATCAGGTTAAAGTTTTTGGATAAGTAGTTTACCATTAAACTTTGGTCATATCAACTTGAGACTTAGTAGATATGTTTATTGAGAGGTGAACTTTTAAGATTATGTGACAAATTACGATTTTGACCCCCAGTTTAATGGTTCACTGAACAATGACATATGATAGTGCTAGCAGGGCATTGTGTTCCATGAATACATATTCTTGTATTTCTGTAGGAAAGTATGGACATTTTTATAGAGCATTTTCTGGAACAATGTTACCGTTAATCATTGATCATGTAGGGTTCATCTATTCCCACATGGATAATGAAATTGTTTATATCCAGTCACTTCCATGATAATGCACAGATCAAATGTTAAAGAGTACAGGGTTTTACAACTATTGAAATTTTGAAATCCTATATAGTGTTGAAACTCTTAAACTCTTAATATAGTTCAGCAGAAAAATGCTAGAAATGATCAGTTGATGCATCTCTCTGTTATATCATTCAGTTACTAAAACCAGTTGTGACTTGTTTGAATAATGATCAATGATACCAGAATATGGTCAATAAATTTCAAAAAGTAATCCTTAGAATTAAAAACCTAACTTAACGTGTCAAAATAAAAAAAAACTGTTTTAACATGTCAAAATGAAAAACCTGTCTTAACATGTCAAAATGAAAAACCTGTCTTAACATGTCAAAATGAGAAAAAAAAAGGATTGTATTAATTAATGTTTTAAAGTATGCATGATCCGTTAAAAAAAATCAAGAAATAAATGTTCTTATAAAAATGTTGGCTGCTTTACATTTCTTAGTCAGGACTTATAAAAGAGGACATAAAGCAATAATTCTTTCTGTTCCCTGATTTCAAGAACTAAAATTTTGACCAGATATTTGCAAAAATAAAGTTACATTTTTATAATGAAATGATCTTTAGAAAAAGCTCAAAACTTAGAAAAAAAATAATGTACTGTACTACTAACCTGCTTCTGTTTACTTCTGGTGCCCAGTGAATATATACTGGTATTTATACAAAACTATTTCTTAAATTTGCACTTGTCCGATAATTGTTTGATAGAGATGAGATCACACTAACAGATAGAACAAAATCAAAGAATTAATTAAAACAATATTGATGTGGTTTTTCTGCTATAGCACACAAGTGTTAGAATTTGAATATTTTATAATTTTAACACTTTTTTACTTTTAAGCTTACATCTCCGAGGAACCAGCTACTGATGATACACCATCAAATCTATGGATAGTGGGAGCTGTAGTGGGTGCCATTGTTTTTGTTGTTATAGTGATTTGGATTGTTGTGTGTATCATATACTGGAAGTATAAACGAGCTCCAACCAAGGGCAGACCTCTAGATTCAGAAAGTGATCCACCTCTGCTTAGGATGAGATCACCAACAGGAGAAGAGGAGGTCAGTCAAAGTTACTGTGTTATTAAGTACCAGAATATTTTCTTATTTCACCTCTTTCTCTGTCATTTCATTTGGCTCAAACCAAAAAAAAAATAACATTTTTAATCTGGGGTTAATCTGATTCTTGTAATGAAGCTGTTTCTTCTTGGGCAGATTTCCTGCTGAAGGGTGGTAGTTAACTCTGGGTACTCCTGTTTCCCTCCACTAATAAAAAACTGGCAGCCATTAGATAGCTAAAATTAACGAAAGTGGCATTAAACACCAGCAATTAATCAATCAATCTTCTTTAAAGATTTTTTCTCTCTCCGTTTAACCTATTTCATTTCTGTTTTCATCAAGACAAGAAAAACAGTCTAAAAATTGTTTCACATTTTTCATGTCGGGGCCTTTTAAAGCTGACTATACAATGTGGGTTTTTTTTTATTGTTGAAGGCAGTAAGATGACCTATAGTTGCTTATATCCACATCATTTGAACTCTGGTGGATAGTTGTTGCATTGGCAATTATACCACATGTCTTTACTTTAATAAGGTATGCTTGAATGCAAATTTATATATAGATTAATACCTTCATACTTTCTTTGCATTCATAAAATAAGTATGAACAGTATGATTACTAAATCAGAACTCAGCTAGATTATATCTGCATTTCTAGGGAATTTTGTTTTAGCATTTCAATCAGAGGAAGTATATGAAAAACAGTGAAATGATATATCCTCTGGAATTAAAAAAGGTTAATTGTGTATATAAAAATAAATTATTTTATATGCAGTACATTGATTTCTTCCCTGTGCCAATCACATGATGATCAACATTCTGTAATTCTCACATCACAGCTTCATGACTTTTAGAGCAGAAATTACTGTAAATTCCAAAATTATTGCGAGGTTTTTATTAATGAGAATAATGCAACTGGGTGAGTATCGCAATAATTAAAACTCACATTATGATATCTGATACTTAAATCTGTATGTGATTTTTCATGGAATCGCAATAAATGATTTTTGTCCATTCTTCAAAAATCGCAATAATAAATGCAAGCAATAACGTCCATTATCACTGAACTAGTATACATATTTGTTTAGGGGCCAGCTGAAGGACGCCTCCGGGTGCGGGAGTTTCTCGCTGCATTGAAGACCCATTGGTGGCCTTCGGCTGTTGTCTGCTCTATGGTCGGGTTGTTGTCTCTTTGACACATTCCCCATTTCCATTCTCAATTTTATGCAATAATTTCTGAATTTACAGTATTTCACATAGGAGAACTGTTAAAATAGTGATGTCTCAATGTTGTAGCAGAACTTATCAGACTTATTTCTGGTAGGACAACAAGAGATAAATAGGTCAAAGGGAGATAAAATATGACTACAATTATTAAGATAACCTGGTGATCAGGTCTTTTGCATATAGATACTGTTAAATATTAACTGTTGGACACATTGTTACTGTTGTCTGATATTTTATGATATCAATGTGCAGAAAATTTAAAAATCTAAACTTACAAAGGCATGCATTTATAATCTTTTATGGACATGTCTTTTTAGGATGATGCACGGTATGATCAGGTGACTGGAACAGAACCCAATGGTACAGCAGCTTACACAGTGACCTCACCAAAGAAACAGAAGTACAAGGTCAACCAGGAGGAAGATTTGTATGCTGAGGTTCAGAAACCAAAACATCCCACGTCCAGTAAATCGCCCTCTAAAACAAAGTAGGAGTTTATAATGTTTGTCAGTTCTATGCACTAATTTTCATATGATACAGTACATTAAAATTTTTCTAAACTAAATCTTGTGTAATCCCAAAAACTTAAATCTTTCATTAGGATGTACACCAAACAGTGTGGCATATACCAATAGACTATCTTTTGTGGACTGGGACTCATATGTTTGTTTATGAGTGACCAATATGGCTGGGAGGTATACTTCGTTTGACATCTACAAGCATAGATAACTTAGTCTTTAACTACAATAAGGCTTGTAATAAAGTGGCTCTTTTCACCAAAAAAATACATCCTTCAACAGTGAGAAAAAAAACCATAGTCAGCTATAAAAGGACCAGACATGAAAAATATGAAACAATTCAATTGAGAATAAAAAAAACAATTTACGAAAAACAAATATGACAGACATGAACCAACGACAACCACTTAACTACAGGCTCCTGACTTAGGACAGGCACATAAAGAATGTGGCGGGGTTAAACATGTTTGATCATTTGTAGAAATGGACATGTGCATTCTAATTTACTGGATTGAAATAGGGTTTGTTTTATCCCTTATCCCTGGCAGTCCGCCAAAAGAATACCTACCATAATGAGCCATTATACAAGCGTGTAGGAAGGTTTTTATATACCATTTTACCAAGTCAGAGAAACCTGTCAATACCGGTATATAGTTATAAGTATTTTTCTTTTTCAGATCCGATGTTGAATCAATGAATATGGTCACTGAAAAAACAAAGAAGAAGAAGAAAAGAAATAGTCAGGCTGGTAAGATATATGTTATTTTAATTTTCTAGTTGGTAATGGTTTGTATAAATGTTGATTGAAGAATGATAAGAACAGCAGGGCTTCCAAAATTATTTTTAGCCAGCAGGACATTTTATATATTATCCAGATTTTAATCCCTTAAGACTAAATAAACAAAAGGTAATTATGGTATTCAGTTGCCTAGTTGGCCCTCCCAATGATTGATATTAAACAAAAAACGATATTAAACTTTCTTTGATTCAAATTCGAAGTTCTGACGTAAACTGTTAAATTGGCAGTGCATCATTCGAAGTGTGCAACATCAGCATACTTATATCTGCCTTAGACTCTTTATTTGTGCAAAATAACGTTGTCAAAAACTTTAGTTTCGTTTTTAAATCTAAAACCGGATGTTATCTTGACAATGGTAAAAAATGGACCAGAGACTGATACGTAAATTCCGTGTACGTTTGCAAAGCATGAATGAGTGTACGTTTGCAAAGCATGAATGAGTGTACGTAGCTCTTTCTACGTTATTTCTTCAAGAAAATATTCGAAATAAACGTGAGATAAAGGTATCAATGACAATTTAAGCATTTTTTGAAGAAATTAGGATGCATAATAAAATTTCACACCTGTGCACATGCGCACATGTGTACTAGTTCAAACAGAGACATGTCTCTGGTTCAAACAACGTGGTTATGACGATTTTTCATTTTCTACTTTTTAATTTTTTCATCAAATCATATTTGTAAACATATTTCTGATAATTAAAATCTTTTTGACTAAATTAATTAGATGCAAACTGCTGAAATGTAAGAAAATAACTTTGTATAGACCGATCAATGTCCGGTTCAAAATAGTTTACCTGTCACCTGAACAGGTAAATTTCAGCTGTTCGACAACTAATTAGCCTTGATTAAAATGAGAAGGTATTAAAGTAGGGGTTGTTTTGATCGTACTTAATGATCATGTCACTTTTATGACCGGAAATGTGTGGCTGTTAAAGGCAAAAGGTTGGGTCAAAAAGATCATGAATTATGTAAAAATGACCGTCTCTTAAGAAAGCCTTGAAAACTAAAAAATGTAAATGACCGTTTCATGCTTTGCCCAGCCGGACTTTTACCGGACATTATACAAATGTCCGGAATATATGACTGTTTTGGAAGCCTTGAAGAACAGCAGTCCATAAACCACCATGAGAAGAATTGTATATTCCAAGAAACAAGAAAATATTTTTTAAAGCCCCTTTCACCTAGGAGGCATCAAGGTTTACACATGCGTTCATACCTCAGGAAATTGGTTTCAGTTCTCTAACTTTAGTTTGCCTGAACCAAATGTCAAGAAACTTATAGTGCTATTATTCTATACTGGTGCAAACCTCTGCATGGAAAATACACTAGAATAATTCTAAGAAATTATTCAAAGACTATACAGTAATAAATTCACGGAGAATAAAATGTGGATACCGCTTCCAGTTTGCCAATACTTTGGATATCTCAATATGTTGAATGAACTTAAAAATTTTCTTCACACATTTCTTCAGTTCTACAGAACAGAATGACTTCATATTTGGTCAGCAGCTTGACATTAATGAGTTGTAACATTTAAGGGCTTTTTTAACCTGTCTGAAACCTACTTTCTGTTTTCCGATACTTTGAATTACGGATGAGGGTATGCTAAGCATAACAACATTTACATTACCATTTTATAGTGTTCTACTTCTTGGAAAATATATCACTTTTGATAGGATATTAAATTCCTGAACAAGATGTTTCTGATTTATTCTTTGTTTTACGCTTTATTTTAGTTGCTGGTTTAGAAGAACCCGATGAAAATTCTCCAAAGCTAATTAGGACAACACACCTACAGAAATATGAACCACAGGTAACAAACATTTACTTAATATGAATCGCAAGGTTATGGAAAGGTAACATACCTTAACTTGAATAGAAACATACTAAAGTTAACAGTTCAGAAATGATTGTATTTGTCAGTGATGGTATAAAATCAAGTAAACCTGACTGATGATAATTACATTTTATTTCACCTCTTGACCAGTATGGCTGTGTGTCCAATTTACTTCAAAAGTGATTGTTAATGGAAGGTACAGAGTCATTAGGTCCGAGTACACAGTTATCGTCCTTTGATTTTCGTTGTCCACAAATATAGTCCCTAGTGTGGACAGTGTGTTACTTGCCAATTTTTTGTATACCCCTTCCAAATTTATTTCTCCATGTTTTATGCCTCAAATAGCAAGTAGGGGGATGAAATTACACTGTGAAAAAATTTGGGTCATGAATTTTAAAGTAAAGTAGTGATTTGATCCAGCTGAAAAAGGTTAAAAATAAGCACTTCGGAAGCTGTCAAAAGATTTCAAGACCCCCTTAACATAAAATTGTCCATATTTTGAGTTAGAGCCGATGAAGTTTTCTACAATTTTGATATAATTTGTCTCAAAAGTAGTACAACACACTGTAAAAATATTATTGAGAAAGCGCAGGTGGGATTTTTTTTTAATTTTCATTTATTGTCTAAAAGAAATGCACTACGAAATAACTGTGTACTCGGACCATTATTTAATGGCAGCATTAAATTTTAGAAATTGCATTTCAAAAATAATCACAGACAATTTCAAGCTATGAAAATAGAAAAAAAAAATTAAAGGTGCTGTACAATGTTTTTTTTCCTATTTGCAATAAGTATAGTTATTTTGTGGTAACAACATTTCAGTGATTGTGGGACATACAAAACTTAGAATAGTAACGGATATTGCATCGCTGTACAATAGACATCCTTAAGTGATGTACAGGGTAACTTACTTAGCAAGAGAACAAAACTCTCATTTTCAAATCTAAGAGTATTACTAATAACATCTTTTCCCCTTTTTTTCCTCTTTTTAATGTTTCAATGATTTTTTGTTCCTATTTGTTGTTAGTACAGTTATTTTATGGAAAACAACATTTCAATAATTGTCAGACCCACATAGCTAAGAATTGTAAGGGATATTTCCTCATGTACAATAAACACCTTTAAGTGATGTAATGAGGAACTTACAGAGCAAGAAAACAACACTCTCATTGCTGTGTTTCATCTGCTTTCTCTTATGGAATGATCATTCTTAGAACAATGTCAATATGGTCCCAATTATCAACACAAGTTGTGAATGCTTGAATTTCATCAGAAACTGCAAAACTTGTCTTTTTAATGCAACTATATGTTGGAATATATCAATAATTTGTAAACCTAATTTGGGGAAAGTTATCTTACAAATTTTGACATTTGTTGCCTGAGATTAGATATCTTTCCATTTGACAAATAGTACGAAAAACATGGAGGAAATTGAATAATAGGAAAAAAGTTGGAAACAAACTCATATTCAGCTCTTTTTAAGTATATTTGTAAAATCATGTATGATAAAATAAATTATTAGCTTACACACTTGATATCCCTTGCTTGAGATGTGAGGTTTTATGACAATAGAGACAGAAAACAAATAGAGGAAACTTATACTATAAAACTGTATTAGTATTTGTGATTTTTCAGATTGATGAAGATTTAAAGGAAAGTAAGGATGCTGAAAGAAAGAAAAATAAACAAAGATTAAGAGAAAAAAGGAAAAAGAGGGAAAAAGGTATGTTAATTTGTAATACTTTTATATTTGTTAAAGTCAAGGACGCAAATGTTTTTACTCAATGAATAAAATTTATTTTACAGAATTAATCCAAATTTTTCCAGACTTTGGACTTTCAAAAGATGGTGCCAGTTTTGTGTATAAATCAACGTCTTATAAATACAAAGGTTGCCAAAACCCCACCCTACATTTTCTTTACTTTTAACCACAAGGTGTGATCTGTCAACACAAAATTGTTTATGGAATATTCCCATTTTCCTGACTAGAGAACTTAATAATTTTTTTCAGCAAAATAATCAAATGATGGTACCAATATTGTGTAATCAACTCTCCCTGCATTTTTTATACGCCCGTTTACGGGACGTATTATGGTATACAGTTGTCCGTCCGTCGTCAACATGTTGACAATAACTCAAAAACGCTTTAACCAGTTTGCATGAAACTTTGGTGAATTGTTTATATCTATTGACGTGAGCTCCCTTTCAATTTTTATAAATTTTGAATTATTACCGAGTAATGGAGTTTTATTCATTAAAAAAGGGGGATTTTCCAGTTTTCGGACATTAACTCAAAAATGCCTTGAGCAGTTTTCATGAAACTTCGGTGAATTGTTTATATCTATTGATGTGAGCTCCCTTTCAATTTTTATAAATTTTAGATTTTATGTTTCTGAGTTATGGGGTTTTATTCATTAAAAAAGGGGGATTTTCCAGTTTTCTAACAATACCTCAAAAATGCTTTGAGCAGTTTTCATGAAACTTTGGTGAATTGTTTATATCTATTGTCTTGTGCTCCCTTTCGATTTTTATAAATTTTAGATGATACGTTTTTGAGTTGTGGGGTTTTGTTCATTAAAAAAGGGGGATTTTCCAGTTTTTGGAGAATAACTCAAAAGTTCTTTGAGCAGTTTTAATGAAACTTTGGTGACTGGTTTATATCTATTTAAATAAACTCCATTTAGATTTTATAAATTTCTGATATGACATTGAGGAGTTATGGAACTTTATTCTTTGAAAAAGCAACGGGCGTATCATGTGCTCATGGCGCAGCTCTTTATTTACTTAATTTCCTTGAAACTTCACAGACAAGTTGCACAACTATTGATGGGCATCTCCAATTGTGGAGTTGTTAAGAGTACCCCTCCAAAACCCATTTTTTTTTATATTCTATCTTTGCATATGTTTAAAGGTTTATTAAAGACCATTATCTATTGCTTAAAAAACTTTCTGGACAGTTGACAAAATTGAATATTTTGATGGAAAAACAGGACATTAGCAAAACAGCACCCCAATTAAAATTTATATAATGCTTCATTATTGCTTACATCTATATACATGGAATCAGGTATTACTTTGTTCTATTTGTAAACATTTTATTGGAAAAAAAATTAATATAACTTCTGACAAATTTTTTTAAATTTTTGTTTTCATTTTTTATTTTAGATCAAGAGGCAATGAAAGAATATTTGTCAGGACAAGAAGAAATAGATGCTGTGTTAGGTCACAGCACTGATGAAATACCAAAAGTATTTGTACATCAACCTAAAAAGTAAGAATTTAACTTTGAATGCATTTTGTAGGTATATTTACTTAGAGGATTTTTCTTTTTGCTCATATAAATTAATGATCTATATCCAAATACATGTATTCTACACTGGGATAATCAAAACATAAATATAACCCTGATCTGAAGGAGGGGGTGTAATGGTTTACCCCTGTCCCTCCCTAACCTGGGACAGTGGTGTTACAGTACAACATAAGAACAAACTATAAAAATCAGTTGAAAAGAGCTTAACTCATCAGATCGATACAAAGCAAATACATCTAACAAAAATGAAGAGTATGTTTTTACGGTTTTATTGGCATTATTTTTAATTCATTATTTTAGAGACAAATGATCATCAGTGCTGTTACAAGTTATAAAATTGATATGTTTTCTTGTTTTCTCAAAGATATATATATATATATCTGCAATATTATTTTCGTTTAGAAAAAACCGTTCAAAAGATAAAGAAGGACAACAGGTAAGTTTTAGTTCATGTCAAGTTTTGTCTAATGCCAGATTTGATTGGTCAAGCTTATATTTGTCTGCAAACTTCATTTTAAGCAAACATATTTATCAGTGATGAAAACAAGAACTGGATGAAAAAAATTTAGGCTGGATTGAGAAATTTTTTATTCTCTCAAAATTTATATTTTCAAGTTAAATCTGGAAACCATGTGAATGGCATTAAACCATAAATAACCAAAAATAATTGGAATGAACTGTCTAAAATATGGTCTAGGCAATCTTTTTTTGTTGAAGATAATGTTGACCTTTACATGTCCGTTTTTGTTTTATTTATTGTTGGTTTGCCTTTTCGTTTCACTTTTCTTATAAAATCTCGACCATTTTACCATAAATAGGATGATAGCTATGGTTAAAACAAATGAAATCTTATTTTTAACTGGAGAAGTTTGGAAAATAATTCATTAATCGATAAATATCAAATAAAAAATATATTTTGAAAAATTTCAAAAACCCTTTTGTTAAGCATGTTCAGGTATGTGAGAAAATACTTCCGATTTACGGAAGAAATTTTAGACTTATCCGTTAAAAAAAGAATTGTTTTAAGTGTACTGAAGTGAGAAATTACAAAAAAGGAAACCTTTTTTTACCCATAATTCATTTTTTGATAGAATGAAGGGTTCGTAGAAGATGAGTCTTTACGAGAGGCAAGACAGAGGATGCATCGGTTATTAGACGATGCTTTTGCACTCATCTCACCTGCTGAATCTATAAACAATGGTGAAGGGTAGGTATATAAAGCCAAGCTTTTAGTTTATATAATAGAGTCTCATTTGTCGCAATAGGTTAAACATTAATAACTTAACCAGTAACTTGACTTGACGAACAAATGCTTTTATGAATAACAATGTGTAAGTAATTGCCTGACCACCAGGGGTCAAACTTATCATAGATGCAATTTTTGTTAGTCATAGATGAAAAGTCTCTATGAATTACATAAACCTGTAAAATGTTATATCTTGGAACTCTTCATTGATCCTAACAGTGAAATAACTTAATAATTTTATATGTAACCACCTCATTTTCTTGTGGTAGTAGTCTAACCTAATGTGAGGAGGTTGTGAATTCATTGCATGGCTGAGTCAAACCAAAAACTTTATTTTTTATATTTGCTACTTTTCGGCTAATCACATGTCATTCAGGAGAAACTGTAAAGACTGGTCGGATTGGAGTCAGAATAACATGTTTGAGTAGGGCAGACTATTACCTTATGAGCTACCTAGCATGTTCAAAATTTGTAGTACAAAGCAGGATATATTCATATGTCATTAACATGATATTGTCCTAAATATCACCAATTAATTAATCTCCAAACAAATATGTGCTTAAAGATTAACTATTATTCATATGACATTCAAACTATAAGCTTTGAAAATATTCTTGATGGACCTCAGAAAATATATAAGCATATACTTGCTTTATCAAATTTAAGTATTGAATTTATCTAAAGCATTGTGATGGATATGTGTTTTGTACATCTCAACTGAGAGAAACTTCTATCAACATTAAAATAATGTATAAAGATAACTCCTTGGCTTTATAACCATTACTTATCTTCCACTTTCAGTAGATAATTTACATAAATAAATGAATTTTGGGTTTTTCTCAATCTATAACTGGTTAGTGACTTGACGTGTACTATAATTTACCTAATTATATTTTCACAGAACAAAAAAAGTAGCAAAATCAGCTACCCCAATTAGAAAATTTACACACAGGTATAGGTGTATTTAAATGTGTCACTAAAATTGTAAAAAAATGTGTGTGAATTTGCAACCATCACAGCATGTTTTATATATATGGCAGATGTCTACCATTTATTTTGTTCACAATTCACAATTCATTCACATCTCCAATTAGTTTTAAATTTTGTCTTTCACTTTGACCTTTTAATTTGCATATTGAAATTTGAACAGATCTAGGAGAAGAAAAAGACATAGGTGATGATCTTATATTGTCTCAACTTATGTAGATTTTCTAGATGATGATGATGGAGAAAAGGATAACTTATCCTTTCTTTAATTTTGGAGACTTAATTCTAAGTTGATATTGTGCAAATCATAAATTAGATATCATACTTATTTTGACTGAATCATTCTAATGTGAAGTAGATCTGAAAGTTTTTGTTTCATTTGCATGGGAAGTTTAATTTTCTCCATGATCATCAATTTATTATCTCCCCTAACTAACTTGTCAGTATGCCTTTTGAATAATATGGTTGCTATGTTTTATAAGTTTTACATGTAATATTCTTTTATAATATGTATTTTTTCTTGATATGATGTGATAATTTTTTTACCTTTATGTACGAATGTTGCAAGTTCGTATAATGTAATTTTGTAGTGCCTGTGACAAAAGTCCTGCAAGCTGAGACAAAATTGTTGCTTTTATCTTATATTCTAACTGCAAGATCACACTATTCTTTCATGTATCAATAGGATGAGACTTGTAACTTTCTTTGTCCCAGGTTATATGCTATACCATTATACATTGTAATTGCTTTTAGGTGCCTTAAGTGTGCTTTTAGAAAAACTAAATTGGTTGGAATACTCCTACCACATAGCTTTTAGGACTTTTTAAATCAATTTAAAAGTATGTTATGTGTGATGTCGCGTACACATTTACCCCAACACCTTTTAATCTTACTTTTACCCAGTTTGTTTTGTTTTTAAACAACCTTCTATTGGAAAGATAGCAACAGTGTTCATACACTGATTGCAACAGGGCATTAAGCAAACAAATATTAGTCAATTATATTTCATGCATAGGACTAGAACAAATTAACAGAGAGTTGTTATTAACTTTAATGTGCAGAGGCATCAGGTCTGAAGTCCCTATTCTGATCAGACATGACGACATATTTATACATACCCTGCACCACAAAATGGAGAACCCTAGCAGGAGAGTCATACCCTTAAGATGAAGTCTATATACTGCCTCCCTGTAACTCTTCAACCAAACCCGGCCTGGTCAAACCAAAGACTTTAAAATTGGTAATACATGCTTTTGATGGTCCTTTTAATTCTGTTGACAGTTATGATTTTTCTACTCTCTATACTACACTTCCACACAATCTTATCAAGAAAAAGTTTTCATATTTAAGTAAATGGTCTTTTGAAAAATCTCATTGCAAATTTATTTGCTGTAACTTGTTTAAAGCCTTTTTCTGTAACGAAAAAGGAAAGTATGCTAGATACACTTACTGGAAATGTGAAGATATGATTGAAGCTTTAAATTTTCTCCTGGACAACATATATGTACGTTTCGGCGATCAAGTGTATCGACAAGTAGTAGGTATTCCTATGGGCACTAACTGCGCCCCTTTAATAGCAGATTTATTCCTGTATTGCTATGAATCTCAGTTTATGACCAAACTCAGTAAAGACACGTCATTGTTACATTTGGTTGATACATTCAACAATACCTTCCGTTATCTGGATGATATTTTTTGTTAAATAATTCAGAGTTCTCTAAATATACTACCAAAATTTACCCAAAAGAACTTACTTTAACTTAATCTATCATAAACAGCAGTAGTTGTCCTTTTCTAGATTTGGACATTTCAATCTCTAAAGGAAAACTCCATACTAAAATTTACGACAAAGGACGACTTTTCATTCCCTATTGTTAATTTTCCTTTTTTAGACAGCGATGTTCCTTTGGCTCCATCATACGGTGTTTATATATCCCAACTCGTTCGTTATGCCGGTGTGTATAGTGATGTCATAGATTTTAACGAATGTAATCAATGCATCACTGGTAAATTATTAAGTCAGGGATTTTGTTACCATAAATTACGTAAACTTTTACTAAATTCTTTCATAGATACAAAGATTTGATTAGTAAATTTTGTTGATTAAAAACGGTATTTCACATCCTAAATTTTACGGTAATATTGTACTTAAAGCGCGGAAATCACTATGTGATCCGTGTAAACTCATCGAACCTTTAAACAAACTTATTAGTAAAGGTTATCTTACCAATGTTGTAATTAGATCTTTGAATATAGTTTACATTGGCACTAATATCGATTTTGTCATCAGCAAATTAAAACATAACTAAATTTGTATTCTTTTCAAACGGGATGTATAAAGACACACCCACGTTCATTTTGATCTATAAATGAGTATAAAGAGGTTAACTCCTAATTATCCTACTGCCTGTCGATACATTTATTTTTGGCATTGCACAAGTCATGTCTTCTTTGACTGTCCATGACGTTAAAATACGTGTTTCTCGTTTCTCGTTTTTATATAGATTAGACCGTTGGTTTTTCCGTTTGAATGGTTTTACACTAGTAATTTTTTGGGGCCCTTTATAGCTTGCTGTTCGGTGTGAGCCAATGCTCCGTGTTGAAGGCCGTACCTTGACCTATAATGGTTTACTTTTATAAATTGTAACTTGGATGGAGAGTTGTCTCATTGGCACTCATACCACATCTTCCTATATCTATAAATCCTTGGGATGTGTTTTAGTTGATTTTAGTCTCTGATGCATGATTTTTTATTAGTAATTGTTTTTTGGCTTTTAATCGGCTGTCAGTAACTGCGAGTACTCTCAAATCGTACTTTCTTGTTTATTTGACCTGGTGATACTAATTGTAATGCTTTTTTGTTATTTAATGTTTACTTATTCAGGGTTATATCTGGTTTATATACCAGCTTTTATAAGTGTTTGGTATTACTATAAATTTTCACTTCTTCGTACTATGAACATCAAAATTATTTATTTTGTAAAAATATTTCCTTTCTCCATTTGAACTGTACATGTATACCTAACAACAAAATTATTTTCATTTACCTGTGTTTAAAGTAATTGCAAATGGCTGATATTTTTTATCAAGCATATTGTTTTTCTTAAATTGTTTAACATTTCACAGCGGAATAACATGTTACTTTAATTATTCTTCCCTTAGTTTATTTATTTTGTATTTACATTGTATCATAGATCAAATTTATTTGTTCAGTGTATGTTCACTGGTGTTAATATGTCTTTTAATTGAGTTAAGCCATTTCAATTGATATTTTATAGTGTTTCTTTCTATTTTGTGATGTTACACTATTGTTTCAGATAAGGGTGAAGGTTTGGTACCATTAAAACGTTTAAACCCGCTGCAATTGTTTGCACCTGTCCTAAGTCAAGAATCTGATGTTCAGTAGTTGTCGTTTGTTGATGTGGTTCATGGTTTTACACTAGTAATTTTTGGGGCCCTTTATAGCTTGCTGTTCGGTGTGAGCCAAGGCTCCATACTTTTACCTATAATGGTTTACTTTTATAACTTGCCATCTTCTCATCTTTTTTCTATACAATAGTATAACCACATGGTTCCATTAAGCTAAAATAATTGTAAAGATAGATCTTATATTATATCCTGCTTGTTTATTAGAATCATACACACCAGCATTTTCCTAACTGTAGTTTGCTGCATGGAAAATCAATAGAGCATGGTATAATTTTAGCTCAGTTGGCCCTTTGGGCTATTCTCTTCACTTGGAGTCAAATGTCCAACTTTGTTAACTTTTACATCAAATTTTCTTCTCTGAAATTACCAGGCCAATTGCAACCAAACTTGGTGACAGTCATCCTAAGAGTATTAAATTTTAAAAATTGTGTCCAATGAACCTGCCACACAACCAATGTGGCCACCATTGCTAAAAATAAAACATATGGGTAAAATGCAAGTATTGGCTAATATCTTGAAAACTGTTATAGACACATGATTGATAGAGAAATCAGGCAGGGGGCAGAAATGTTCAGAATGTCAAATCTACCTATTGTTATACTGTCCATTTTTACCAGAATTGTCACACAACTCCTTATAGGAGTTATTGCCCTTAAATGACAATTTAATTATTTTTCGTTATTATCATGACAACTATATTAGATATAGATATAGATACAGAAACTTTAAACAGAAAAAATGATCAGCAATACAAGATGTACAAATAAGTCAACATGGCGAAAAATGCCAGATGACTCTTATAGGAGTTATTGTCATTAAATACTGATTTTTTTTTACCGATTATTGTGATTTTGTCTTTTATTTTGAAAGCCATAGTAAAAAGAGGAAACTATAAGCAACAAAAATTATCAACAAGACAAGACCATGGCCCAAATTGTCAGTCCACACTTTTTAGGAGATATTGCCTTCAAATGATGATATTTGGGGTAAAGATTGTATTCATGCAATCAAACTCTTATGGGGCTGACTTGATAGTTATCAATTTTTCAGAATTTATCACTTCTTTTGAGATAAATAAAACAAAATTTATTGAGTACAACATTCTATGCAACCTATCCACAAACATTTCAAAGAATTTATCAATGAAATGTATACTCAAAAACTCAAGTTACAGAATGATGTGTTTGTGAGTTTGTTTATTCCACATTGGCTAGGGAGGGTTGAGATCTCACAAAACATGTTTAACCCCGCCTCATTTTTGCGCCAGTCCCAAGTCGGGAACCTCTGGCCTTTGTTAGTCTTGTATGTTTTTTTAATTTTGGTTCATTTATATGTTTCGGAGTATAGTGTGATGTCCATTTTCACTGGACTAGTATACATTATTGTTTAGGGGCCAGCTAAAGCCTGCCTCCGTGTGCGGGATAAAATCCCGCTGTGAAATCCCACTGTGAAATCCCGCTGTGTTGAAGACCCATTGGTGGCCTTGGGCTGTTTTCTGCTCTTTGGTCAATTGTTGTCTCTTTGATGCATTCCCTGTTTCCATTCTCAATTTTATTGCGTATAACCATATTTGTCAAAAAAATACATAAATTGTGCATGGTGCATGATGCATGAATCTAGTATCTGTTTTAAAAATATCAATGATATTGTTGTCAAAGTAATATTAAAAATTGGAGTTATCTACCTTTGTCTATAATTGTAGTTGATCCAATTCATAGTATTGCCTTCCAATGCTGTTTAAATTTTAGTTCCCACTGCAAAATAAATGCAATATTTACCCGTCAGTGCTCACAAGCACTTTGATTGACCTAATATCTTGAAAACTATAAAAGATAGATAGAAAATCATTCAATACAAATATTCTTATTGCCTTGCATCTATTTTATGCAAAATTGCCAGGTGAGCAAAAAAGGCTCCTTTGAGCCTCTGGTTGTATAAATTGTATTTTTTATTAGCTCATATCATATTAAAATATAATGTCACTTTGCAGTTTTTTTTATATTACATTGTTGAAGTTTGCAACATAACAAAGTAAGATTCAGTATTTTCAGATATATATTAGAAATAGTTTTTTTTTGGTGCCGGAACATTTTCCATCTCTTAAAGTTTCCTGAAGGGATAATTACTGGTTAAAATATATCCACTCACAGGATTGAATAAATAATTTTGTACTAGTAACATTCTAACTAATTTTTGAAATTTTACAGAAACAAAGTCTCACCTGAAAATAAGACACAGACCAAACAAGGGTAAGTTGGGTTTACAGTAAATGCATGACCAGTTCTAGATAATGAAAGCTGTGGTACTGGGAAGGTTACAAAACTGAAGAAAACAAGGTTCAATGAGATGTATATTCATGATTTAGTTTTGAGCCAGTACAGTTTATTTTCATTTATTTAGCAATAGTCATGGGTTGTCTTTTATTCTTATCCCAAGGACTTTCCAAAAAGCTAAATTACAACCCATTGCTGTTGACCAACAGTCTAGGATGTAATTTGTTATTTAAAGTCATTAGGAAACTGTGCAGTGAATGATTCAGTGAGCTGTAAACCAAAAAAACTTCAAAGAAGAAAGTAGGCCAATCAAGACATTGTCCTAAAAAAGCATATACAGTAAAGTAGATGGAAAAATTATACAGAATTTTTTTTTTTTTTATTCCTGATGATAAAACACACAATTTAGTAGGATTTAATTATTTTGCAATAACTAAAAATTATATTGCTTATATGATTGTCAAATATAATGTATTTAGAATTGATAGAGAGTCATATGTTGATATGCATGAGTATAATTGTTATATATATTTATGATATTTTTAAATGTTTCCAGAGAAGATATTTTATCAGATAACTCTTCAGTCTTTGAGTACATGTAAGGAAAACATAATATCCCATTTTTGTTTTGTTACTGAAACATGGAAATATATTCTTTGGATGTGCCAATCAATTTAAAAAACCTTACATTTTTTGCATAGTTGAAGCAGAATCTGCCAAAAATGTTTACAGTCTTGAAACTGCAAACCATCCTTTATGATTTAAAATTGAATTTGCCAGTTAAATAAAAATAATTGGTTAACACCAGAATAGAATTGGATGTAAAATGATTACAGTTGTCATCTAATGCTGTTGTGTTTATATTTCCACATTTTTATTCTGCTACAATTCTGCAAAAAAGTAACCAGTTGATAAAAATTTCCATTTTTACAGTTTTCACATTATGACTCAGTTATGTAAGGAAAAATATCACAACTGTTAAAAATATGTAGTCAGATTAAAGAAAAACATTGGTAGATCATCTCCCTGTATTTCCTTCTGAGCTGAGTTAGTTCATATCCTGTTGTTGTATTCATATTTAGAGAGAAAAGTTATGTTCAGAGAAATGTCTTTTTCTTTAATCTAGTAGACTTTTTACAAATTTTCAACTTTTGCCTCACTTATGGCAATAACCTAATAGACCACTTTCGAGTTTGTTGCATTTCCGTCAAAAAGTTTGGTTTTAGTGAACATCATCCGTGCATTTGGGGGCATCGTCACTTCCTTCCCATGTTGAGCGAGTGGTTGAAAAAATATGATGCTATATTGCACAATTATTCAGCTAATTAAATTCTTATAATTGATGATCAGCACTGCTGTCATTGGGGAATTGTGATTAAGTACCTACGGAACAAACATTATTTCTAGTGTATCCTGCATAATGACAATCACGAAGACGATTAATGAACTTTAATAGTGCAGGGATACAAGCGGTCCCCTCTATCTGGTAAATGACGTCATAAAGGCGCGCATAATTGACATACTTTTCCGGTCATAAAGGCGTGCATAATTGACATACTTTTCCGGTGAAGGTCAAAACTCGAAAGTGGTCTATTGGAAACACCACTGATTCAGACAACAATTTTTAAACTTTAAACATAAAACAAAAACTGTTTTAAAAATGTCTCTATTATTTAAGTTACATTTATTCAATCAATCATTTAGCTACAGATATTTTATCTGCTAATGTTTCTCAACAAGCTACTCAAAATAAATCTATTTCTCAGAGCTTAATGATGTTGGAAAGTTTTTTTATTTTATTTATAATTTATTCAATTAAGGTAATTATATTTAAAAAGCTTGGAATTTATAGAAAAAAGTATCTTCCCACCAATTAAAGTACTGTGAATTTATTATTATCCATGGAATACCAATTGATCATGGATTTTGTGGGTATAAGTGAACCATGAATTGATTTGTTCAATGAAGTACACATTTTTTATAGTCTGATGTGCAAACTTTGGCAACACCATGCATTCAAATATCTACAAGAATACAATTTTTCCTCCAGCCATGAAAATTGGTTTCCATGAAAATAAATGAATCCACAGTATAACTTTGTTTTATTTGAAAATAAATACTGGCCAATGTCAGTTAGTTAATTTACTGTACTACACTGATATCAGTGAATGGAAACTGGTTCCTGTGTACATTCACACTTCATTTCTGTACAAAATTCTGATTCTAATGAAAGAAAGAATAAAAAAAAATCATTGCATTAGTTCAGGAATTTGATAGCAATTTAGCTGAGAAATAGATTTATTTTTAATAGCTTAATAATTTATGTATGTCAATAAGTTTTGTTTAAATACAACAGGTTCTTAATTGTTTCCTTGAGCATTTTTAATCTTATGTTGGAATTTTTGAATTTTAAATTTAATTTTTCCTCAGCATTTTTGTCATATTTATTATTCACTAAATAACATTATCAAATGATTCACTATTTACATCTTTAGATTTTTTTAAGAAGAAAAATATTGAAAAGAGAATGACTTTTATCCATGCAAGCTGTCATTCCCGTTTCAAAGAAAATCTTGGGAGTATTGATGGTGCTTTAAATGTGAAAATAACATGAAAAAGTAATTTACTCACAACATGTGAACACAAAAATTTCAAGGGAAGTGACCATGAAACCTCATGCACTTTCATACTTTTATTTCATATTTATAATATAAATTAGACATGCAATGACGTTTACATTGACATCAAAATAATCTTCAAGTAGTATTTACATTAATATTAATTGTACAAGATTTTAGTTTAGCTACAGAAGCAGTAGAAATATTTTCATTACAATATTTCAGTTGAATTTTAATTTTTTTCCAGATTTAGAGCAGATGATTTAAAAGCCCAATCAGGTAATTTGTAGTTTCATTTTGACAGCTTGAAAAGCACATATTGCTTTTTTACAATTTTCTTAGGTTTGATATCTTAAGAAATATCCTAGAATCAAATCCCAATTATTACTTATTGCCTTGATGTACTTTATAGCAGCATTAGAAATAGATGTTACGTAAGAAGAATTGTATTGGTTACTGGCTGTAGTCTGTAAGGAGTAGGCCCAGTAAGACCCCTTTTTGGCCCCAAAATATAGCAGTTTTACAAAATTGTTAAACTGTAAATTTTTAGCTATTTATTGGAAAGAAGAATACTTCTGTTACATTAGTATGGACTGTTTTTGACAATACAATGCACATGTATCGGGTAGTAGCATCATTAAGTCATGCTAAATTACTGAAATCTTCGAAATTTTAGCATTTTGGTTAATATTTAGACGGTTTCCGTCTGAAATGGAAGTGGCTGCATCTGTGTTCATTCTTAATATTTAAATGTAAGTTGTATTTGATGATAATACATAATATATATAAAGGTTGAGAATGAACACGGATGCGGCCACTTTCATTTTTGACAAAAACCATCTGAAAAGTGACATATTATGGCTTATTTGATAGATTTTTCATATTCAAGCTTGAATTTGAGCGTCTTCAATGACTAAATCAGTTCAAATCTTTCACATAAACTAATTGAATCGACTGAAGTAGACACTTAAAGTGTGTAAAAAGTGTCTAAAATCTTTCATCAGATGAACCTGAATTTTGAGGCCAAAATCGGCCCTTACCGGACCTACTCCTTTGGTGCTTGTAAATAACTTGGAGTGCCCCGTTAGTAAACTTATTTTGATAATGTCAAGTAAAAAGTGCAAAAAAATATTACTCCTCAATCTATTCTGTGGTACATTACTCAACCATTTGCATAGTTATAAGGTAGATGAAGGGTCTTATTTGAGTTTTGATTGCAAATAACTACAATCAATGGGTATAGAATTTTACTGAAATTAGCATACTGTGGATTCATTTTAATTAGTTGGATACCAATTTTCGTGGGTTTCGTTGGTTCAGGTGAACCACTAATTCAAATGTTCAACAAATTCCAAATTTTCTATAGGCTTTGTATGCAGAGATTGGCAAAACCACAAATCAAATATCCACGAAAATGCAAGTTTTCCTTGATCCATGAAAAATTAATACCCACGAAAATTAATGAATCCACAGTATTCACTGCAAAAATGAAATATATTTTTAAGATTATTCTGTCAAAATAAAAAAGTAAAATTATTTTAGTGTATGTGGATGTTTTTTTTTTTCTATTTGAAAAGAAAATGCTTTGATTGATAAATAAACTTTAATACTTCATAAGAGCTATCTTCTCATATTTTATTTTAAAAATAGTTTTCTTTGGATACACATAAAGTACTTTTCCATGTATAAACAAAAGAGTAGTTACTTCTTAAGTATTTTTTCATGAGTATATGCAGGTTTTTCTCAAATAGAGTATTAATTCATATTTTTAATCATCCGAGATTTTGAATATATTTCTATATACTAAATTTTACCAACCTTCAAATCAAAGAACCCTAAGTGTGTCAACTCTTTGTGGTCATGGTGGTATCTGTTCGCAGCGCTCATTTCTGAATTTATTCTCGTTTTCCAGTGGCATTCCAAATTTTCTTCTTGACCCAGTTTATTCTATTACATGACCTACATACTGTATTCATTGTTTAGTTGCTCTCCTCCTGAACATGCATGAAATATTTCCACTGGATGCAATGTGACATTAAGGTGTTCATACAATTAATATGATTTCTAAAAACACTGTTTATTTTTTATAGAGAAGAAACATGAGCCAATGTTTGTACATACAAACCATACACCAATGCCAGAAACGCTGCAGACTTGGAGTCCTTACAGAGCTGCTGACCAAGTAGCACTTATATCTATGCCTAATTCTATGGTAAGCTATACAGAAGTGTTGATCAAGTAGCTCTTTTATCCATCCTATTTCTTTTTGTAACTTCGTACAGAAGTGTTGATTAAGTAGCACTTTTACCCATGCCAAGTTCTATGTTGTGTCCATACAAAATTGCTGCTCAAGTAGACATTTTACCCATGCCCAATTTTGAAGATAGTCCAAATAGAGCTGAGATATTAATAGCAATTACGGTATATCTTTGTTTAGTTGTGCAAGTGGCTTGTGCTTTCAACTCCAATCTTGATTGTCAAGGATTGTCAGTTTTCATGCACAATACAATTTCAAAATAATTCTGAGCTCTTTTTTTCACTGAATGTTGAGCAACCAACTCTCAGTGATATCAAATATTTTATAGTAGGAATTCTATCCATGCATTTATATAAAGTCCATTTAAAACTGTAGGTTAAAAAGCACAGAAACAATTTACTGTAAATTCAGAAATTATTGCGAAAAATGCGACCGGGTAATAATCGCAATAATTTAAATTCAAATTTTGAAATTTTTTTATATGAATTAAACAGGATTTTTCTCAATATCGCAAAAATTAAAATCTCATTTTAGTCTAAAATGACAAAATCGCAATAATAAATGCACGCAATAATTTCTGAATTTACAGTACCCAAATGAATGGGGAAAAAATAATTAGAATATAAAATATGGAGAAGTGGTATGGTTACCAATGAGACTATTATCCTACAAAGACCAAATGACAAGGATGTTATCAACTATAGGTTTCTGTATGACCATCAACAATAAGCAAAACCCATACCACATAGAAAGCTATAAAGGCCCCACATGACAGAATGTAAAAAAATTTGAATGAGAAAAAACGCAACAGCCTGATTTATGTCCACAAAACAACAATCGAAAAACAATATGATATACAGTAACAATCGACAACTACTTATTTACAGGTTCCTGACTTGGTACAGGCACAAGAATGTGGCTGGGTTAAACATGTCTGCAGGCACCCAACCCTCCCCTAATCTGGGACAGTTGTTTAACAGCACAACATAAAAAAAAATATAAAAATCAGTTGAAAGGGCTTTACTCATCAGATCGATACAAAGCAAAACAAACAACTAACAAAAACACTAAAGACACAAAGAACCAATCTGGGAGTACTTGCAGTTGTTGAAAAGTATTTCCAAGACAATAACAACAAATTAATGAATCATGTATCCAGACAAAATATCATTCAGTACATGTCCAATTGATTTAGTGTAATGACATCATAAACAGTCTAAGAAAACATCAGCTATATCTTATGTTATAAACACAAGCAGAATCAATAGCATTAAACACATTTCCAACAAATTTGATATGTTCTTTTACTAATAAATAAATATTTAAGTAGTACATGTATTTAATATATTCTACCAGTTGCAAATAGTCGCTGTTGAATAACTCATTTTGTTGCCATTAATGGTGAATTTGATGTCTTATAAAAATTTAATAGAAAATGTAAAATTTTAATAAATTTAATCTAATAATGAGTGTGTATTATTACAGCAAACATCGTTAGGGAGAGATTTTAACAGAAAGAGTCCTGGAAAAAGACCAGTGGCAAATGTTAACTACAATGGTCCAACATTGACCACAGAACCTCCAAAACCTATTCTTTTGAGGACTATGGATTTAGATAAGAGTGGAGGACCAAAGGAACATAGAAAATCTGGAAATTATGAACCAAGTAGATCCACAATGCTGAATGACATTGGAGCAACTAAAAGCTCAAATTTATCTGGTCTTAAATCTAGTCATATTGGTTCAAAAGAGCCTTCTCAGCAAAGTGTTGAAATGAAAAATCTAAATGGCAACGTGTCTCATTCTAAACCTCATAGACCTCATTCCAAAACATCAAAAGATATGGATGAGACAGATATTGTGACAACAAACCTTTCTCAAAAGGTAGCAACTCCTGATCAAACAATTCAATCTATCCGTGATGAGCTACGCAGTATTGTTAATTCAAATACATCACCTTCAAAGACCAGACATTCCATGGCAGATATATCATAGTCTACATTTAAGTTTTGTAATTTGTTATTATTTACAGAGCGTTTGGTGAGTTTGATACCTCCAATTACAATTTTCAGAATTCATACTGTTTATTGGAGGGCTAAAATATCATGGCTCAATGAAGAGCAAAGGGCAGTTATAATTTATCAAGGTTAAATTTTATGCTAATGCCAAAGGAATGACAATTTTAACACTGCAACTGTGAACTAAATTTATAAAGCATATAAAAAACAGATGTAAAGTTTTTATTTTTATAATTAAACTGCCTTGCAGTTCCAAAATTATCCAATGTGATATTTGATTTTCTTTTGCTCCAGCTGGATAGGAAATTTATGTCACTGTTAAAGGATCAGTAGAAACTGAATATGGTTCTGTGATAACTTTTTTAGCAAACGCTCTATTTGGTCATGTCTTAGCAATGGATTTCATTAATTTATGTAGTAATTGTGTTAAAATTGCATTGAAGTTAAATGGTAGAAATATTGAATTAACAAAAACAAATTATATACTATAAAATATATAGTTCCATTATCATTTAGGTAATTGTAGTATAAGTCAATTACTAAACTTGCATGTACTTCACGCTTTTAAATTGATTTAAAATCGCATGGTCACTTTATTATGTAGGTAACAGGTTTTAGAGGGAAAAAAACAAGCAAAAAAAAAAAAGACTCATTAAATGTGACTGAAAACAGATTGGAAAAATTGCAATATTTTAATGATATTTTTCTCTTAAAAAATGAAATTTTTGAATTAGCCTTACAAACTTATATTGCAATATAATAATTTATACTCATAAACCATAAATTATTAAGTTGTTATACACACATATCAATATTTAAGCTCATTATCATGTGTATTGTATATTTTGTATCATAAATACATATCAAAATTATGTTGAGTAGACAAATTGTAGATATGTAAATAATTAAATGAAAATAATTTATTTGTAAATATTGTTAATTATGCAAAAACAGATGTTACCATCTACAGACAATTTGTGGTTTATTTAAAAAAATGTTTTAGAAACTTTTATGTATGAATTACACAATTTGATAATAATATAATTTTGCTACAATTCCACAACTTTTTTTTTATCTTTGTCTGTGACTTGATACTATTCCAATAAGAATCTTTCATCTACATTGTAAAATCTAAAAAAAGGTATCTAATGGGCTGTTCAGATTTATTGACAAATACAGTCAAAAATTCCAAACACATGTAGTTCTTAGAAATAGGGTGTTTCTAAAAATTCCTTTTAAGATGGGTAGTACCTTTTTATATACAAACCTTGGAATTTTTTGGTAACTCATTTGATGGGTAATTTTGCTCAATTGATTTTTATACGACCGCAAAAAAAAATTTGCGATCATATATTGGTATGATGTTGGCGTCTTCGTCGTCGTCGTCGTCCGAAGACACATTGGTTTTCGCACTCTAACTTTAGTTTAAGTAAATGGATCTCTATGAAATTTTACCATAAGGTTCAATACCACTAAAGGAAGGTTGGGATTGATTTTGGGGGTTATGGTACCAACAGTTAAGGAGTTAGGGGTCAAAAAGGGGCCAAAAATAAGCATTTTTGTAACTTCCAGACATAACTTGTGTGTTAGTGTATGGATCTCTCTGACATTGTACCAAAAGATTCCATATCACAAAGGGAATGCTGGGATTGATTTGGGGGGTAATTGCCTCAAAATTTTAGGAATTAGGGGCCAAAAAAGGGGCAAAAGACAAGCATTTTTATATGGACAAATAGTTTAGTACAAAACATAATTTATAGCAGTGTAAGGGAGATAAATCAAATTCATCATTTGAATTACCTCCCTTACACTGCTTTTTAATTATGTATAAAGTAATGGTTAATGAACAATTAAGGCAATTTAAAACAGTAAGGGAGGTAATCCACATACAACATTTTGATTACTTCCCTTACACTGCTTTTAAATCATGTTTAAAGAAATGCATATTTATAAAGAAAGACCAGTAAAAATATCTGCAAATGTTGCATCTTATTTTTTTTACAAAAAAATCCATATTTTAAATTCTATTATAAAATAGATTAAGTTAGCACTATGGTAAATTTAAATATGTAAATGGGTAATTATGGTTGCAAATTCCATTGGAAATTTGAATTGAGATTATGACCATATCTTGAGGGAAAGAATTTTTGGGGGGAAAAGGGGGGGGGGGGGGGGGGGGGGGGTAAAAAGAAATTGTGGGGGGTCAATTTTTTCTCATTTCAGATTTCAGAAATTAAAAAGAATTATTCTTCAAATATTATTTTTTTTTCAAATTTCAAATATTGAAAAATTTCAAGAAGTAATCTTTAATTGCACAGTATGGCGCATTAGATTTGTAAAATCTTTGACCACATTTATTTATTTGTTATGCCAAATCTGACCGTGTATTTAGATTTTTAATTTTGGGTCCAGTTTTCAAATTGGTCTACATTAAGGTCCAAAGGGTCCAAAATTAAACTTAGTTTGATTTTAACAAAAATTGAATGTATGGGGTTCTATGATATGCTGAATCTAAACATGTATTTAGATTTTTGATTTCGGGCCCAGTTTTCAAGTTGGTCCAAATTGGGGTCCAAAATTAAACTTTGTTTGATTTCAACAAAAATTGAATATATGGGGTTGTTTGATATGCTGAATCTAACCATGTATTTAGATTTTTTATTTGTGGGCCCCGCTATCAAATTGGTTCATATTGAGGTCAAAAGGGTCCATAATTAAACTGTTTTATTTCATCAAAAATTGAATTATTGGGGTTCTTTGATATGCCAAATCTAACCGTGTATTTAGATTTTTAATTTTGGGTCCAGTTTTCAAATTGGTCTACATTAAGGTCCAAAGGGTACAAAATTAAACTTAGTTTGATTTTAACAAAAATTGAATGTATGGGGTTCTTTGATATGCTGAATCTAAACATGTATTTAGATTTTTGATTTCGGGCCCAGTTTTCAAGTTGGTCCAAATTGGGGTCCATAATTAAACTTTGTTTGATTTCAACAAAAATTGAATATATGGGGTTGTTTGATATGCTGAATCTAACCATGTATTTAGATTTTTTATTTGTGGGCCCCGCTATCAAATTGGTTCATATTGAGGTCAAAAGGGTCCAAAATTAAACTGTTTTATTTCATCAAAAATTGAATTATTGGGGTTCTTTGATATGCCAAATCTAACCGTGGATTTAGATTTTTAATTTTGGGTCCAGTTTTCAAATTGGTCTACATTAAGGTCCAAAGGGTCCAAAATTAAACTTAGTTTGATTTTAACAAAAATTGAATGTATGGGGTTCTTTGATAAGCTGAATCTAAACATGTATTTAGATTTTTGATTTCGGGCCCAGTTTTCAAGTTGGTCCAAATTGGGGTCCAAAATTAAACTTTGTTTGATTTCAACAAAAATTGAATATATGGGGTTCTTTGATATCCTGAATCTAACCATGTATTTAGATTTTTTATTTGTGGGCCCCGCTATCAAATTGGTTCATATTGAGGTCAAAAGGGTCCAAAATTAAACTGTTTTATTTCATCAAAAATTGAATTATTGGGGTTCTTTGATATGCCAAATCTAACCGTGTATTTAGATTTTTAATTTTGGGTCCAGTTTTCAAATTGGTCTACATTAAGGTCCAAAGGGTCCAAAATTAAACTTAGTTTGATTTTAACAAAAATTGAATTCTTGGGGTTCTTTGATATGCTGAATCTAAACATGACATGTGTTTAGATTTTTTGATTATGGGCCCAGTTTTCAAGTTGGTCCAAGTTGGGGTCCAAAATTAAACTTTGTTTGATTTCAACAAAAATTGAATATATGGGGTTCTTTGATATGCTGAATCTAACCATGTATTTTGATTTTTGGGCCCCATTATCAAATTGGTCCACATTGAGGTCAAAAGGGTCCAAAATTAAACTTTGTTTGATTTTCTTTGATATGCTGAATCTAACCATGTATTTAGATTTTGGATATTGGACCATAATAGGTAAATTAAAAAAATTTAAGTTCTTAGACCACATTCATTCTGTGTCAGAAACCTATGCTGTGTCAAATATTTAATCACAATCCAAATTCAGAGCTGTATCAAGCTTGAATGTTGTGTCCATACTTGCCCCAACTGTTCAGGGTTCGACCTCTGCGGTCGTATCAAGCTGCGCCCAGCAGAGCATTTTATTATGATTTGAAGTCATGGGAAAAGATTTCCTTATTACAACATGATCGATCATAAACAAAACTTGTAACAACTTGATGTTGTATTCATTAATGTGTTTAACAATTATCTCCTTTTAAATTGTATCAACAATTATCTCCTTAATCTACTCCCCTTAACTTAATATAAAGATGTTCTCTGCCTAAAAATGTTGATGTGTCTATTATTTTTGCATATGAAATTACTAGACCATCTGATACAATTATCCATGTGTTAATCTTTTCCTTACTATAATTCTGTAGTTGGTTTCATCAAATTTGTTAAAACTGTGATACATTAGATGGTGAAAAGGGATTTGATATTAGTGCTATTTTATACACCAGTATTTTTATATTGTCACAATTATTCCCCATGACATTGATATTGTATATATCGAAACATTCCATATTTATTATTAAACTTTTTTGTTGTGTCCTGTTTTTTGGTTTTACTATGTAATTACCATCATGTAATTTTATTATATTGAGTTACCTCCCATTAATATTTTTCAATAAAGTACTGTTTATGTATTCATCAACAGCCAAGAAGAGCAAACCACCATTTGACCTTCATGGTTAAATGCTTTTTCTATATGTTTGTCTAGCTAAAAAAAGGGAGTTCACTAACGCTCTATGCATATAGAGTTTGACAATAAACCTTTTTTCTCTATTGTTTGCATTTTGCAGACTCTTTGCCAGCATATCTAGTTTAGAAATATTTTGTTTGGCAATGTTATAAGCAATAAAACGTTACCTCAATTATTGTTATAGATCTGAACTTTAATGGATTAGTTGTTGTCTGTTTTGTTAATTCTGTAGATATTTGCATGATTGATTTCAATTGATTATATAAGGTTTTCAAAATTATTGAATTTACAAAAGATAAGAAATTCAAGTAATGTCAAGTCTTTTATGAAGGCATCAGAGGGTTAGGAGTGTTTACCTTTATATAAAGATATTACCGGTGCATAAAATGAAATGTTTAGTTATAAAACCCCTTTTATAATGAAAGCAAGATTCATATTGTTAACTTATTTGAAAATCAAGTACTATTGGGTTAAACATATTATTTTAATCATTCTTATTTATTATTTATGCTAACACAGTTTTTGGGTGTTTTACCATTTATTTATTAGGTCTGAAATAATCATTGCAGTATGCTGGTCAAACCTGCATTCACTTTTTGGGTACAATGTCAGAAATTTAAAAAAAATGACTCTTGTGATTCCATTATGTCTCCTAGCAGAGAAGTTTGTTGGTTGTTAAAATTGTTATACTGGATTATAGATCTGTTATATTTCTATGTATTCGTTTATGTCTCATTATATAGTCAAATATTTCTTTATGTTCGTCTGATATTATTTTGTTCTTATATTGTCAAAAAATTATTTTTGTGACCATTTTATCACAATAAAATATTTGTATTCTTTGTTATATTATATATAGCTTGAGCATACTTTTGGAATTTATCCACATTGATCATATCTATTGTTATGACAAATTTTG